CTGAAAGCATAACTCACACAAATCATATGACATCATATAAGCATACAAATGCAAGTACGGCACATAGCAGTTAAATCTCAAAAACTTAAATACCGTAAGGCGTAGAATTTACCCCTTTACACTCATCTTGGCATAATCGTCTTACTCGAATAAGCCACAAATTTGATGTGCTTTGAGATAAACCAATCCCCATGGTCTCCTTGTTCTTCTCATTTCCCTTTGGTCGAACACTTTATCTTCCAATTGATTGCATCGCCATCACTTTCCCTCTCCATAAAAGTCACCACCCCCGCCACCAACTACGCGCTTCCTCATGTTCGGTCCCTTCCAATCTATTATCTATCGTATTCGTCCCAAATCCCAACTGCTCCTTTTTCCTAGGCCGATTGAATCCCGACCGGTAGCAAACAAACTCATGTCTATAGGCTCCAAGGTTTTGGTTTTCGGTTGATCGTGCTTTCCTGATTGAGAAGCCATTCTTGTTCGATTTAGGTACAATGGATAGGATTGGCGATGTGTGGTCCTATTGGAGACGATGGAAAGGATTGGCGGCGGTTGGTGATATTCGCCTCCGCTCTCACCAAACTGCTGCTGCTACGCTTTGCCTCTCGTACTCCGGGACAACAAGGGCGGCGGTGGGTTTATTTCTGCGGGGAAATTGTTGCGGGGGGAAGAGAGGGATCGAGGGGAATTTGGGTTAATGAGGGCTCGGCCCTCTTTGGCCCCCTTTTTTTTTATATACTAATAATAATAATAATAATAATAATAATAATAGTTGTTATTATTATTATTATACTATTATTCGTAATCCCCGGTTGCAACTCTTCGTACATACTCGTTAAATCAACCGTTCACGTATTATGGTCGAACCTGAACCCAATAGTCGGGTGTTACATACTAACACCCAGATCAAAATAGTTCACTCACAAAAATCAACAAAAATAAGGTATGGCAGTCCCCGGCAACGGCGCCAAAAACTTGATAGGGCAAAAGCGTATTGCTTCAATTCCTATCTCGTAGTAAAACTGGAAAGTCCGGGTATCGTCTCTCAGGGACTGGTACAACCTTATGATTTATCAATTCTATGGAGCAAGCTATAGGTGGAAATGGTTTGAGTGATGAAACTATTATCTAATGGCAAAATAATTAAACAGAACAAGCAAATTAAAATGGTCTGGAGAAATTCAATGGGAGAAAGCTCTGGGAGAAACACCGGGACTCACCACCTATCATATCCAAATTAATTCACATATTCTAATCAGTTTAATCCAATTCTCTACAGCCAGGATATCACTAATGTGCTAGCTATCCCCGTCGGGAATTACTACGTACTAAACAATTAAATCAAATCCTACTGTCGTAGCTCAATGACTTAATTATTTAATCTGAAGATCGATATATCCTATTTAAGACCGCATAGCACCTTATTTAATCCATTGTCGCTTCGATAAGTTACTATGTCACATGAAATAAGTTCAGTTATTAGGGTTTCACTGTCGCTAATAACCTAATTAACTATAAATCGATGTATTGGTGGCCAATCAACACAAAGCATTAAGCAATTCCATGCAATAGAGATTGGAAGAAAAGAAATACGAATGAATCCATGAAATCTAAAAATAGCTGCATCCTATGGTGTTTCCCCCAGAAAGTGGGATTTAGTTCATGATAAAATCAAAAAATATAATCATGTTCTTAATCATCATGAAACTAATAAAAAAAGAGAAGGAACAAAATACTCAAGAAATCCCAATCAATGTTCGTTGTTTCCGTCTCTCCCGGCAGCTCGCGATGGGTGAGCTTTTCTGCTCTTGTCGCTGTGCTCCGCTGTTCTCCAATCGCCCTTCTCGCTAATCCAAAGAAATTCCGTTCCAAGTTGCCCCTCCCCCTTGCTGCCTTTCGGGGTCGGATACTATGCTAACCCCTAAAGGGGTAGTGGTTTTTGACACCCTCCTCTTGATTGGTCACTTTTCCATTTAAGCTTTTTACTTTATTTATTGTAATCTTGTAAATTGGGAAAGCCTTAATTGTGATAATAATTATGAATGGGGAAGGAGAAAAACGTTGGTAATTATGAATGGGGAAGGATCTGGGGAAAAACGGAATCACCCCCATTAATTACATAATTAATTTCTCTCACTGGTACATTAATTACACGTACCACTCCACTGGTACACGTACCACTCCACTGGTACACGTACCACTCCACTGGTACATGTACCAGTGGAGTGGTACGTGTACCAGTGGAGTGGTACGTGTAACCATATGTCCTGTTTAGGCTTAAAAAATTGTGAAGACTTTATGTTTATTCACATTCGAAGGATAATTTATTGCTTTTGGCATTGTTGTTGGCATTTCCCTAATTTTGCAACCCATTTTGGAACACAGTTTTTGGCTACTAATGGAAAGTTCCTATTTTTTCCCTATTATTGTTTATCATTGTTATGAAAAATATCATTGCACTGGTATTGTTCTCACTCTAACCTACCTTGTGGATTGCTCGCACCAGTGGAGTGGTACGTGTACAATTGGAGTGGTACGTGTACCAGTGGAGTGGTACGTGTACCAGTGGAGTGGTACGTGTACCAGTGGAGTGGTACGTGTAATTAATGTACCAGTGAGAGAAATTAATTATGTAATTAATGGGGGTGATTTCGTTTTTCCCCAGATTCTTTCTCTTTTCCAATGTGGTGAGAGACCCCAAATTACAAGATTAAAAAAAATAAAAAATCAGTTTAATTAATACTTGCCAATGATTGGAAATAAAATTGGCCAATCATAAAGGGGGTGTCAAAAATCACTACCCCTTTAGGGGTAGTCACGCTAACTGATCCCAATCTCTTTCCTTTAATTAATCCTCCCCGCAAATTAATTAATTCCGCCCAAAAGCCTCCCCAATTGCGTGTGTCACAAAACCACCCCCAAGCAATTCCTTGTCACACTCCAATTCCCTCTGGCCGCCACTCCTCAGGAAAAGGAAATACAATGGGCCTTTGGCCCAATGTTACTTTTTAAGGAGAGATTAAATTCATTCCGGTCCAAAATAGAAATATTCGATTCTTTGTCAGATGACTTGGTGTATCCTCCTGTACTCTTATGTAATATGCTTGTAGTGGGAAATTTGGTTTTCACCTACAACACATAGAATTTATGGCACTGGGTGGTAATGGTTTTATAGATATTCCATAGTCAATCAGCTCTAAAACAAACATTTTATGTCTCAAACATATCATGAAATAATCACATCAGGTACATGGAATCAATATGTTTTCGACAATTATCACTACTACACCAATCTCTTCTTTCACCATCAATCCCGGTTTGCCAATGGAATGCCTCTGGTGGTTTCATTTCATGACTAAATTAGGCTTTCTGTATCCATAGAAACAATGATGCAATATGATCTGTCACGCTTTAGATGTTTGATGGTATACGGCAGGCACCACCCGTTCAAATTGTATGCATTTCTTTATTTATCAAAGCTTTAACCTCTTACAGACCAAATTGCACAACCATTTCTCATTCACGTTAACGACTTTCTTAAATGGTAAAAAAGATAAACATACTCTTAAAGTATGTGTGACAAAGTTTTACTAGCATTTTCTTTCGCAACTCCAAACAAATATGACATACTTTAAATGGATTTTCATACGAGCTCGACACATTCATAAAACAAATAGGAATTCAGTTACTCATCTCGATCTTTATAGAAAGAATATCGTTAATGTGAAAAAAATGATATGAAATTGCTACCGAATTCGTTTCTCCACCTCTTACAACGTTAACATAACAAAAAATACGAACATGAAACCAAAATGAGTAAACATGTTATTTAATTCAATATCTCTTATATCTGTCACGGGCTTATAGTAATGCTGAAAAAATGGAAACATAAACAAAATCTCTTAAAATCCCGGAGAAGGCAACAACCAAGATATGGGGTTAGCATCATGCTAACCACGACTTGTAATAGTCCGCTTTAGAGTTGTACTACTACTGCTACAACTAAGGTTAGGGGGGGCAATGGGCGGGTTGGGCGGATTTTGGTCTAAAATTGACCCACCCGTTTACTAGCTGGTTGGAATATATGTGACCCGCAATCCACCAACATACTTATGCGGGTTGGATTGGGTGGGTGGCGGATGGGTACAGTTGGGTCGCGGGTTAACCCGCAAAAATAATTCTCCAACTAGCAATTAAGAAAATTGACTAACATTTATAATAACTTCATAGCAAATTAGTAAGATTGTGTCAATAATTTGTGATTTTTATATAATTAATAATTTGTAGTTTGTATCCCAATATTTAATGGATATTAACAATAATTTGCATACCAGTATTCAGTATTCAGTGGATATTGCACAACACAATAACCAATAATAGTAGTCAAAACTATTCTTTATTCTTCACCTTTTGAAGTATATGGTCATACTCTAGTGCAATTCGAAAATATGATGAATATTTTATACTATAAGAAACAACATTTTTCCATGTAAAAATAGGACGCTGGTCATACGGGTGACCCGCAATCCACCCACCATCCACCCACATAAGTGCGGGTGGGAGATTTAACAATCCGCAATCCACCCACATCAATCACCCATTGCCTGCGGATCGGGTTATTTGTGGGCGGATCGATATCAATCCGCGGATTAACCACCCACGTGTCCACCCCTAACTAAGGTTGTCAAACCTGTATCCAGTCTACCGGTTCAACTAAGTCCGACTGGAACTGATCATCTAAATGGTTGGAATACACTGTGGTTGGACGATTCTGAAAAAGTCAAAATCGGATTGAACCGTTTAAAATCGGGTGGTCCGACCAGTCAAAACCGAATTTGAAGATGATTGATAATTTTTAATATATAATTCTCTTTAAGAAATAATTTGATAATATAAGAATGTAGATTAGAGAGATTGTTTAAATTGTCAAAATATATGAAGATTTATTTGGTACGAGAGATTTTCGTTAAAACCGACTTAAACTGGTTGAATATTATCCGATCATTAAACCTCAAATCACCTAAACAGGCTTAGTAGCTTAATCCAGTTTGACAATCTTAACTACAACGGTAAAAAAGTAACTACTGCAACTGCAAAACATTGACTACAACTCAACTATAATTGAGTCAGAGTTGTAGTCCCGCCATTGAAAAAAACGACTACATTCGCAAAAAATTTATTACAACTATGATTCTACTTAGAATGGTGCTAATCCTCGGAAGCTAAACCAGTCCCGTAACAACCACTTGGAATTCTCAACGACCACGCTCATGACACTTTGTACATCTCTTTCCCCATTTATTTCTGCCGACCACTGTTTTGTACTATACACATACTGTCGGCAACAGAAGTAAGACCCCATTGATTCTCCCCATATAAACATGTTGGCTTCTTTTCTTTTACTGCCTTGGTACGCTAATCTTTTTAGGTACAGCTTCAAGTGCCAACATCATAGTTTTCTTCGAACCAAAAGAAGAAGATGGGCCAGGGCCAGGGCCAGGGCCAGGGTCCAAATATCAGTCCCCTTCCATTGCCTTGCATGCATCTGTGCCACTAATGAAGCCATGACCTTACATTCCCCTGAAAAGCTTCAACAAAACACAATATTCTCCAGTTCCCACAAGAATCAATCAATCTCGTCAAACTCTTCACCACAATAAACTCAGCACCACCAAAGAATTACAGAGATAACAATGGTGGTGGTTTCACACATCAACTCCACCGGGGACTGGCGAAAACCAGGAAAGATGTATACTTTTTTCTTCATTTCTTTCCATTACTACCTCTAGATGATGATCTGTAATACTTGATAATTGTATGTATAATCATAACCATAATCATAATAATATATCTCACGCCTCTAAATCTAATATCGACAGAGTAGGTGGGGGGAGCAACAAGCACTTTCAGAATTTACAGCAGAGTAACCCCTGCCTCCAGCGTCTGTGCTTCCTGAAATGTCTCCTGTCAGCTTTCGCCATCCTCACCGGACTGCTGTTCCATTCATTTTGCAATCTATGCATTAAAAACAAAAGCAAACATTGGTTTCTAGTGTTGAGCATGATGAACTTTGCAAAACTGTTAGATGTTTAAAGAGCGGGAGAGAGAGAGAGAGGGTGCTTACACTGGGAAAGCAAAAGAGCGTGTACTGGTGGCGCTGCTGTCTGATCTCATCGAGATACTTCCCGAATAAGGAACTGGTTCAGAGCCAACCATGGTGAAGCTAGACTCTCCTTGATTGTACTGAAGGCGATTGGAATTGGGTTGTGAATCAGTACCTCCAATCCGGGGAGAGATTAGTGTCTTGACAAGGTCAGAATCGTCACTGGAAAGGAGCTTCTCCTTTTCAGACTGGGGAGTATTAACGGGTGCTGCTGCATTTCTGGCCCTGCCCTCGAAAGATAAGCGGCCCACAACTTCGTCAGCCAGTTCATCAGAGACTGAATCCAAACTGCGTCTTTCATGTTCCTCATTCTCTTGGACCGATGAACCTTTAGGAGACTCGGATTTAGTAGAAGCAGGGGTGGTGGCCGTAGTAACTCCCTCTTGTTTTGAAACAGACATCATGGAAGGGTCCACCGAGCTTGCTCCCATGCTGTCATTCTCATGTCCTTCATAGGTGGCTGCAGAGGCTCGATTTTCATCTCGCGTCTGCATTATATAGTACTTAAAATTGTAAGTCCTCTCAAAAACTGCAAAGGTAAATCCTTCCTTTCTTTTTCTCCATTCAAGATCAACCAAAGATTTGCTATTTCAAGCAATTAATTTGATCAATGCCAGGCCATAGAAGTCCATATTGGCACTTAGATTTTAGAGTCGGTCAACAAAAACAACTTCTTTGTAGCAGTAGCTTCTTTTGTTTTTTCAGCGGAGTTCAACAAAATAATGGCTTGTTTAGAGCAGTTGAACATCCATGAGCTTTTTAACATAATCCTAAAACAGCTGTGACTAAGATAAAAACATAGAACTTACCTTTGAAGCATCTAGTGAGTTTGAAGAATTTTTCCCTGGTTCTGGAAGGGCAAGCAAATCTCCAAGAGAAAGGCTCCTTTTCAGTGCATTAGAATTATCAGATGCTTCTTTCTCCTCCACTTCCTTGTTTTGCATTGACCGCTCCGAATGAAACTCGACATTTACAAATCCCATATCTTTTGCGTCTTTGAATTCTATTGACGGAAGGTCCTCATCTTCTGGTCCAGCAACAGAAGATTTCGGCACAGATATTACTTCAACAGGTTCTTTCAACACCTCAACTTGTGCCACAGCTTTTTCAGGAGGCAAGAATGTTGACAGATACCCTTCATCCATACTCATGTCGAACAAGAACTTATCCTGCAATGGAACCCCTTCATCAATGCAGATGTCCTTCACCGCATGGTTCGAGTTGTCTTCATAACAAACCATCAATTCAGGCATCTCATCGGTATTCTGTAATGGCTCAACCACGAATCTTCTCAACTCAACGTCACCATTATCTGGTGATGAATCGTCCAGATTTTCACTGTATTCATCATGTCTTCTGGAGTCTATTTTGGCAACTTCATCACTAGTCTTCTTGTATAGGATTTGATCAACATAGTCTTCCCTCAGTTTCGTATCACGCGGTAGACCTTTCTGGTCCTCCTTCAGAGTATTCTCTCCAGATTTAAGACCGAGAGACCCCAGATGATTATTGATGTATTCAAACGCTTCAGTACCAGACTTATGACCTTGTTTACCCTCTGAAATGTTTAAAAAGGAAAGCACAAAGACATGATAAGGAAACACCGAGCATGACACCAACTCACATAGAACAATGAACTCCAAAGGTTGATAAACAAAGAACTCAAACGATTGACAATTCTTCAAATTGCAGAAGACATTAATAATAGCTTGAGAGATGGAATGATTGAACATATTACAAACACAAAGAACATATTGCAGTTACCGAGTTTCATATTTCAACAGATATCAGACTGTAGAAACTTGAGGAGAACGCCACGCTATGAACTTTCCTGCCCAGAAAGCAACGTGAATAGTTATATAAAAAGCAGTTGCAATCATCAGGAGACAAATTAAGAGCAATTTACAAAACTCAATGACAAAGAGTTGAAGTAAGGGACATTGAGTTTGACATGTAAAATCAAATCACCCCAAAGAAGGTTAAGAATCCTAGGCAGACTACTAACTGAATATCCCCTAAGAAACCTCCAAGCATAGGAACATGACAGTGACAAGCAACGACCCCTAAAACAAATGAGTAGAAACAAGTTCAAGAATTATCCTAGTAGGGAAGGAAGATGGGATTAATGAAAGGAATCAACCAAGCTGCAACAGAATGAATGATCATATAAGATCATTTCCTCAAAATCTCTGACCTTCCTTTTCCTAGTAGAGGACGGAAACATAAGAATAGAATGGAAAAGAGGATTCAGCAGACAAAATGTCAAAGATGGAAGATGAGACAATTTGAATTTCTCACGATGATGAAGAATTTAAAGAAGAGATTAAAGAAAAGACAAAAGTTTTGAACTTCTCTAAACACTCTGGAGTCTGGAGCCTCTAACAAACCAACAACACCACCCCCCAATTTTTTACAGCAAAAAAAGTCAATAAAGACAAAATTGAAATAGTAGTAGATGGCCCCCTGCTTTTGCCTTTTTGCATCAAAACCGAAAACCCTTTCTGGATGCTTGCTAAACTGAAAACTCTGAGTAGATCTAAACCCATGGCAATGAATTTCAGTTCCATAAGTCATGATTGAGGATTTGGGAAAACAAAGGTAATCAACCATGACAAACTCACTCACTGATGGGGTTTTCAGGTTTCCAATCAAAGTCTCCATGGACCAGAAAAGAGGAATTCAGTAAAAACCAAAATGGAGGAATATAAATGATCTGCAATCAGATCCCAAAGACAATAAACAAAGGACCATAGAATGGAACAGAATCACCAAAACAAACAAAACAAGAAAGTAATACACTTAAATAGTGAAATATACCTTTTCATCTACCAAATCAGCCTCCTTCGCTAACTGTCAGGCACTCATTCACACAAAAACCCCTGCAGAGAACAGAAGAAACAAAGATAAAGTTTGACACCAAAAAGAAACCAAAGTAGAGTAAGGAACAGGATTCCAGCTGAACCATCTAAAGCAAAGTAACTCATACTCCAGGCCAGCAAAAGGAATCCAAAGAAGGATTAAGAACAGGAAGAAGAAGCAGAACAGGCAGAAGAAGAAGAGAGAAAGAGAGGGTTGAAAACCTCTTAACAAGTGGAAGCCAATAGAGAGAGGAGGGAGGAGACATTCCATGGGAGGATGAAGTATTAAGTTAAGAAAGTATTTAATAAAACATGACAGCAGCAATAAAGAAGGAGTGATGGATAGGAAGTGTGAGGAGCAATAAATGGAGGCAGAAACACAAGACAGAGACAGAGGCTGATGGAAAGGCAAGGCTGGGAGGAGGACAAGTCCCAAACCAAAGGATGAAGTAAAATTAAGTAAACATGTGAATATGAATATGATATATAGCAAGAGGCCTGCAAATCTCTTTAAAAAAATTTAAAGCAAGTAATCTGAAACCCTAATTTAAAGGGTCAACTATCCATCCCTCCTTCCTCTCATCTCCATCCATCCATCCATCCTCCCAACTACAACCATCCTCCATTCACACACAAACCACACAAATGACTAAACATTTCTCTCTCTACAATTAATACCCCAACCAAAGGAGGAAGTAAGAGCAGCAAACAGCTAGCAGAACAGAGCACAGCACGGTACAGCAAAGCTAAGTTAAGCAAAGGGAAAAGCTGTGGGATCAGATCACCCAGCCTTTCACTGTCTCTCCATATGAGTATTTTCCTTGTCTATTTATTTTATTTCAAACTCGTTCCTGCCAATGGATGAATCACAGCCATCAGAACCCCAATACATGTCATTAATTAGACTGAATTTTCAAGCATTCATTGCTGCTGCCTAACCAATACCAACAACTACAGCAAATGAACTTCTCTCAAATTGGACCCTGAATTGAAAGAACCAACAAACAAACTCCACAAAACTCCCTTCTGGTAATGGTAATAAACTAAAAGTAATAAAGTTCATAAATAGATAAACAATTTACTTCTCCCGCGTTCCTTCCACACTACCCAATTCCCCAGAACCGAAGCTAATAGAAGTATAGAGCTCTCGAATCCTTCACCCCTTAAACATCAATCCCAAGCGAAAAAAGAAAGGGAGCTCGGCCCGATGTTCTAATTAAACCAGTTAGTCAGTTACCTCAACCTTCGTCTCCTCAACTGCCCCCACCGATGCCGCTGCTCTGCTACCAAAGAACTTCTTTTTACCCTTGGAACTCCCCTGCTGAGAAACGATCAAGAGAACCCAGAACGGAATTCCCCTCCGATTCCTGATTCTGATTGTACGGATGATCGTCAGAAACAGAGTAAGGGGCGCAGCCAAAAGAAAAAAGAGACGACACCGGAAGAAGATTTAGGCGGCGGGGGAGAAAGAGGGGAAGAAGAAGGGGACAAAGGAAATCTGCGTGAGAGGGAGAGAGAGAGAGAGAGAGAGGGAAATGGAAGTAGGGGAATTTTGTTTTGGTAGTCTGCGGTTGGCGCCGCATTGATAAGAGTATGCAGTCTGCTATGACACAAAAAGATTTATTGTTGAGCAGTTTCTTCTTCCATTTTCTTTCTTTCTTTCTTTCCCCTTTTTTGTTTTTGAGCTGGCTTTGGTTTATTTTCACAGCTTTTCGCCTTTTCCTATATCTGTATGGATAATTACTCAAAGGTCTCTGAATTTCAGGGTTTCCAACAACTTGGTCCCTTTCACTTTTATGTTTAATGAATTGGACACCGGATTTCGGAATAATTAACAAAATGTTCGCTTGTCTATAATAAGTATAAAATTTTCATCAAAAGCATCCCGATCAGTATGAGCTTTCACCCAGATAATTGATAGGCTTCCTAAATCTCTCTCTTATTAGCAATTGGGTACCGATGTCAAATTAAAACATTTCGGATCAATGCATTTAATTTAAGTTCATACAAGGTTGAGATTGGGAGCTAAGAGTGAGAGAGTTCAACTTATGAATTTTTTTTTATCTTTAATTCCTGTTGGTTTAATTTCTGAAGGCCCTTGCAAACTGATGTGCAGCCTGTCCTTGGATCCTCTTTTACGGTGAATTCGATGTACAAGTGCATCATCGCATCAAAATTCATTGGCTTGGCCGGCCGACTTCCCACATCAGGTGGTGTGGATCTCCCAAGTGCCTACTGCCTACCAAAGTCACTTCCTTCCTTTGGCTTGTCACACATAGGCGGATCCTCACTCATAAAAATCTGAAGAAGAAAGGCTGAAATATTGTGAGCAGGTGTGTTTTATGTGAAAATGCAGAAGATAGCATAGACCACTTGTTTTGCAGATGTGATTACGGCCGCAACATTTGGTATCTCTTACAAAAGTTTACAAATGCGGTTGGCTTTTCTGTATACTGACGCAACATGGTGACCCTTATCATACCTTTTGGCAACAATCGTTGTCCTATCACAATTGCATATGACATCTCGTAGTGTATTAGTCTATAAATGAAAAATAAGAGTCAAACTTCTTCTCTTTACAAACCTTATGTTCCATGATTCATAGACTACTTAAAAAACTCTATCAAGTTATGCGTAGCGATCAAGGTCCATAATTTCACATGCTATAATCTGTCCATACACATGGCATCATTTACCAACTTAAAAAACTCTATCAAGTTATGCGTAGGGATCCCAACACATATCAACTACTTCTAACCCAAGTTGGGTGTAAAAAGTTTGTACTCGCCAACTTAAAAGAGGAGGCTATCATGAGAATGGTATTGTGGTCTACAATCTCGATACAAGCATCAGCAAGCTGTAAGCTTTTTTAATGATACTGCTTGAAGATGCTTGAAGCGCCGGTCTCTCTTGTACATATGCATTAGAATTGGTATTCATATTCATTTTAAACTAGATATACTTGCATTGTATATATATCATTTTTATCACATCAATGAGAGTTATCGACTTCTCTGCATTTGAGCTTCTGTGTCCAAAAACATCTTATGTAGTTTGAAATATGTTGAGGGGATCAGTTTGACTTGATCAAATGTACCATGAACCGTCTTTTGTATCAAGTTATTAGGGTACAAGTGGTCTCTTTTATTATTAATTTGAGTCTTGACATACCATTATGGATAATTGGATATGGACAAGGAACCCCGGTGGAGATAGAGAAAACTATGTTTATATGCTGATGGGCGTTCCAAATTGGACAATTGGATTTGGAGTGACAAGTATATTATACAAAGAAAAGAAGGAAAAATACTAAGTCCAGAGACTGATTTGGAGTGATCCCAAAATGCAGGGATCATTATGTAAAAGTCATCCCATACGTTTGAATTCATTCTACGAGTAGGGCTCACTATGTTGTTGTTGTTGTTTTGTGTTCTCTTTCCTTCCTTGCAGGAGCGGACACGTAGCAGAGTGTAAAAGTATTTACCAGGCTCCCATCTTTGATTTGTTACTATTTGTTTGGACGATGATTTTTTTTTTATGAATTGGACGATGATTTTGGATGATACTATATTTGGGTGGAATTTCGTGGATTTGGATAAGCTTGTTTGGTTTATGGTTGGATTGGAATGATAGATTTTCGAATATCAGCAACTATATATATATATATGAAGTTTTATCTTCTTTTAATTTTGTTGTGAGATTTCACGTTTTTATCAATACTTTTTTCTTTTTTATAATGGTGATTGTATTAAGAAGAAAAGTAGTCCAATAATAGTTAGTAAATATTGCATTCAATACGTGTATATGTATCCGTATGCATTTTATGCGTTTAAAACTTTCGTATCCTTATAGTATTATAGTCAAGCCGTTTAATTTTCTTCCGTTCATTTGATGGCTCCTGTACTAAACACCGTATAAAACCCGTATAACAAGTTTAATATTTGTATTTAATGAATTAAAATGTTAACTTTACTATTGTTTATATATTTATTTATTTTTAAAATAATTAATTTATATATTTATGACTATTAACGTACTATTAAATATAGGGGAGCTGACTTATGGACTATGAGGGTACTTCATCGAGTTCCTGGCCCTAGAAACGTATTTATGACTATTAATAGTGTGGAACGCTATTCGCACACCTTGCAATAAGGTTAGCTGGTTTAAATTGTTGTGAGGTAAGTATAATGTCCCAAGATGGAGTATGATTGCTTGGATTATGGTTCTTGATGCAAGTTTGCCAAACCCAAACTCAAATTCATGGGTTTATCCGTAAACCAGGGGTAAAATTCATTGGGTTTGGAAAACTCAAAACCCAACCCAACCTGCTGGGTATCCGCTGGTTCATGCATGGGTACCATTTTTGTCAAAATTTACAATAACAAGTTCCTATGATCCTATTAAAATAAAAGTCAAATATCAATCTCTCAATACAAATTATCCATATATAAAACACCATTCTAGAAAATTCAAGCAAATCACAAATTAATCATACAAATTATTCAACACCAATCTAGAAAACTCAAGAAAATTGAAGCAAATCACAAATTATCCATAAACAACATGATTAACTGAAAGCTGCTTCCTCTTTGTCAATTAAGCTTCTTCACTCTGCACTCGATAACATCAACTTCATTCTACACAATTAGAAAGAAAAAATTAGACATGTCTCGACAAATATAAATACGGTTAGTTGCTTAGAATATTAAATATACCAGTAAAATTAATTATACGTTGTGGGCGGGTATTCATGGGACAGATATACCTAACCCAAACCCAACCCGATAAATAAAAAATGAATTTAAACCCAAATCCAGCACAAAACCTTTCAACACGAGTTTTGGTCGCGTTGACCGCATTTAGTGGGATATGGTACTTGTAGTTTAAGGTTTTGTTGCCATAGACCACTCCTGCTTACAAAGAGGGGGGAGACAGAGGAAAGAAGGACAGTCTACCCGCCACTGAGATTCATGCAAAAAATAACCTCGAGCAGTCTAAAATTTCAGCTGACTTTGCCACCTTCATGAATCATGCGAAAAAGTAAGAAACATGAGTGGCAAATCGGTTGTTAATAATAGTGCACTTCAAATCAAAGTCATGACTCGTGATACCTTGTTTTACTTTTTAATTAATAGAAAAAGGAAATGTCTTGAACTGTCCTAATATGCATGCATTTATATAACATTCATGGTTTTGATGAACAAAATAATCAATTCTCAATGAACATATACTCAAACATAAATTTCATTATATTTTCAACCATAGTATTTATTTTGTAAACTTTAATCGACCTACTGAATGAGTTAGAGCAGGATGCAAAATCAAATTACATTGGAATTTCTCACCATCATCTCTGTATATCAGGCAGACATTTAACAGCTTGGTCAAACCCCTTAGGAAATGAATTTTGATCATTATTAGGAACCGGTAGGATTAACAAAGAGCTTCAACATATCGTCTAGTTCAAAATCAAAGTGGCAAAGAATGCTAAAGACAGAAGAAACATAATCTGGAAAGCGAGTTGCAGATAGAATATTAACAACTTTACGTTACATATAATAGTTTAGGGTTTAAACTTTAATCCTCTTTCCCTATAGATCTGAGTTTATGCATGGGAAAGTGTGTGTGGGCATACATCTAAGCACACTGTAATTCAAGTTTGACTTTCTATTTTTTATAAATTAAGGAATATCCTCTTAATACTATCAAATAGCTACTAATCAATAATATCCTCTTAATTATCCAACTTCTTAGAAATGAAAAAAAAGAAGCATTTTCTCCCCTCTCTTCTTGCGATCCTCGTCGCAAACCTAATGAAGCTCATCACCGGCAAGGTGTCTATGGCGGAGCACTGGGTGATTCCAACATCAACACTATCTAGTGCATTCGACGAGAATATTTAAGACATCAAAATCTCACCAAACTCGTTACTCTCCCTATCAACTTTATCAAAACCCCACCAAAAAAAAATTCAAGTTAAATATTTCTCAATAAAACCAATTTGTGTTCAACTGGGTAGCCACTAGAGGTGGCAATTGGATCGGATTCGTGGATTGGATTGGTGGATCCATTGATTAAATGGATTGGATCCAATGGATTGGTGGATTCATGGATTGGATCAAATGGATTGGTGGATTGATCCATGAATCCAAATGACATCCAAGGCTTGGACCAAAATGTAAATTTTGAAAAGTTTAGGTACTAAAATGTCATAACAAAAAAATTTAGGTACCAAAATGTAATTTTCCAATGATTTTTTTCGTATAAAAATATAAATTTTAGGTACCAAAATGTAAAATATAAAAAATATAGGTACCAAATCGTAATTTGCCATTTGGATCCATGGATTGATCCATGAATCCACTAATCCAATTGGATTTGGATCAAATGGATTGGATTTAAATGGATTGGATTAAGTGGATAATTTGGTGGATGGATTGGATTGGATTCATGGATTTGGATCCTAATTGCCACCTCTAGTAGCCACTATGAAGAGTGTGCTAGGATGCCGTCTTTTCCAGAGTATACTAACTCGACAAGGGCTTCCAAGGTCCTTCCATATTGTTGGAATGTGGGCTATGGGGTGGTAGAAATACTAAGACGACAAAACAGAAGAGTAAGAGATTGTCTA